CCTGTTCGTCACCCGATCCGGCGTTCACGAACGGAAGCAAAATTTTGCAAACGGAGCTGTTCGTGACCCAAATTGGTCGTGAACAGAAGCGTTCGTGACCCAAGGTACCACTGTAATATCCTAGAACTTGATTTATTTTCTTTGTCTTTTCTCACAAAATCCTTCAAAACTAACAAGTCTCTTTTGTAAATTCAATATAGGAAAGTTATCCAGGTCACTTTTTTGGTTTGTTATTTGTATATCCGTTGTAATTGTCAGCTGGTTTCATTTGTATATCCAGTTTAGCATCTTTTTCGATATCATTCTTGTAGCCTGTCATTTTTAAATCCACTTTCAAAGCAGTCTCAGTCTTGTCTGGTAAACTTGTTCCTCTTAACATCTTTTAAACACAGATGTTAATAACATCTTTTAAGCACAGTCTATAATGGCAGACACTCTTAAAATTAACTTCTGAGTCCTTTGTTCACAAATATCCTTCAATACATCCAATGTTAAAGTATTTTGCTCCATTCTGTACAGGTAGTCCTCACTATCTGTCCATAATAGGTACCAGAATTTAGGTCGCTAAGCAATTTGGTCGTTAAGCAAATTGGAGCTGATTTTACGGCCTTTTTTACAATGGTCGTTAAGCGAATCACATAGTTGTTAAGCGAATCACATGGTCATGAAGTGAATCCAGCTTCCCCAATGGATGATTTTTGTTGGGATTTGCTTAACGACCATTGTAAAAAAAGGTTGCAAATTACAATCATGTGACTGTGGGGGTTGAAAAGCACTTTTCCCAAGGCTGTCATAACTCTGGACTGTCGTTAAATAAATTGTTGTTAAGTGAGGACTACCTGTATTAGTAAGTCAAATTTAAGTGTTCTCCTTTAATTGTAATCTTTAGTTCCTTCTGATTCCCTCTAGTGTCCAACCTTCAAAGTCCCATCCTATCATGTTTTATTTTGTTTTTTAAGAATTCAAAACAACAGCATTTTCCCACAGGAAGGATTCTTATTTCAGAATCCTATTTGAAATCCATCTGGGCCCTTAGTCTGTTTGTAACTACATTCTAATCACTCTTTTGCTGTTTATTCCAAAAAAAGATTTTTTTAAAGTCCTTAAACTTGTATTTAAAACTTCTTTCCATTTCAGGAGCTTCTTCTCCAAAGTTACCATCAGAAGGAAGAAGAATGCAAATGTTTCATTTTTAGTTTGCAGATATGCAGTTCTTTACTTATATAAGGAAGATAGTGAAATATTCAAAAAGCTGTTGTATTTTTTCAGGCTTTTTAAAAGTATGTCTGTTTCATACCAATACCATACTATGTTTTATTTTGTGTGAGCTTTATTTACTCTATATTGCAATTGCTTAGATCCCTTCTGTTAATAACATTACCTTTCTTTTGCTGAAATACATGTAAGTATCTTTGTTTCAGAAAATAAAATTACCTAAGAAAATATCCAGACGTTACCCAGTCTATGAGCTCTATCTCTATGGGGAAGGAATTTATGCAGAAGAAAATAGAAAACTAATCTTAACAGGGATTCCTATCCTTTTTCTTCCTGGCAATGCTGGAAGTTATAAGCAAGGTAAGCTATCTCTGAAGGAATGCCAGTATGGATATTGTAATCCTTTGTAAGCAACAAGAAGCTTCAATATCTCTGTAGAATACCTGAAGAGGGAGTAGCATGGGAAGAATAATCTTTACATGAATCTATATTTTCCTGCATAATAAATAGTTTGCATTTATTTATTATATTTATTAATCACATTTTAGACTACCACAATCCCAGAGGACTCTCGGCAATTTACAATTTACTCAAATAAGCAGTATACAATAAAAATGAATAAAAGTCTACAAACAGTTAAAAATGCAGAATAAAATGAAGCCAACCCTACCAAGATGGAATCAAGGACCAAACGCCATCCAAAAGAGCTCCGTTTTGAGCTGTTTCTGGGTGGGAGCTGTTTCCAGTGGTCTGCTGGAAACCATTCCAAAAGCAGTGCTACTGAGCCTCCCTGCCACCACCTCCTTAAAGCAGAGGCCCATTAGTAGTTTCTCCTGGATAGATTGAATTAGCTGGGCAAATTCCACTGGGAGAGTACAGTCCTGTGAATAACTTGGAGCCAAGCCCCATACATTATATAAGTTATCAACAGCACTTTAAATTGCACTGGACAGTCTGTCTGTAACCAGTGTAGGGCCCACAGCACTGGTGTAATGTGCTCCCTGTAGCAAATATTGGTTAGCACATGGGCTGCTGCACTCTGAACAAACTGGAATGTCTGAGTAGTCTTCAAAAGATCCCCATGTAGAGCTCCTTGCAGTAATTTAAATGGTTGGTAACAAGGGCATGAGTCATTGTAGCAAAATCCTCCTTTTCAAGGTAGGGGCCACAATTGGCACACCACCCAAGGCCTCCCCGGCTGCAGCCTACACCTGCTGTTTTAAATGGAGCCACAATCCAGAAGAACCCAAAAGTCACAGACTTGCTTTTTCAGTAGTGCTGCCCCTCCACCCCACCCCCCCCGGTCAAGAGACACCACTGGAGCAGACAGTTCTGTTGCACCACAAGTATCTTGTTAGGATTCACAATTTAAGCCTCTGGGTATCAGGACAGGACTTCAATGCATCCTCAGTCTGGCCTGGGATAGCAATGTAAAGCTGTGTATCATTAATGAAACCAAACCCCAAACTATTGGATGACCTCTCCCAGAGGCTACGTGTATAGGTTAAATAGGAGACGGAGAGGACTGACCCCTGACTCCCACAAAGGAGTAGCCACCAGGCCAATCTCTCCTCCCCTGCCCTGCGCTCCCCTCTTCTGACTGGTACCACTGCAGCATAGTACCCACAATTCCCCACACGGGGTCCAGAAGTATTTTTTTATTTTATTTATTGATATTTCAAATTTAGATACTGCCCATCTCACAAAAAGCAACTCTGGGCAGTTCACATAAAATGGCAATAAACATTAAAATACAATAAAAGCAATATAAAATACAATAAAAATAGAATAAAAACAAAACACATACACAGATAATATCTTCCAAGATGTTGATGGTCAGTATACCATGGTTGATGATATTGAAGGCCATGGAGAAATCTGATAGGACCCAGATATATGCATTATCTTCATCTTGGGCCTGACAGATACACTAGTGCTACCAAAGCTGTCTCTGTTCCATCTCCAGGCCTGAATCCTAACTAAAAAGGGTTCAGATAATCCATTTTCTCTAGGGTACCACATATTGATTCCTCACCACCGTCTCATCAGCCTTCCCCTGGTGTTAATTGTTTAGCACCTCTGAAGCCAGGGAGAACGTTTTAAGGAGAGAGCTCACTAAAACTTCCTTCAAGGCCACTGATAGTGTTTCCTTCTGCATTTGAGGCTTTAACCATCTCACAGATCCAGATGCAACTGAGTACTGCCTGGGACCTCCATAGAGCCAGACCTGTTTGTATGATCTCATGGATCCAAATGACCCTGGGTCAGTTCACCAATCTTTTTTGTTTAGCAGGCTAGTTTAAACTGTGTGTCTTCTCTATGGTTCCTTCTGAAAATAATATTGTTGTTCTCAAGTTATACTGCATATTAAGCATGGATTTTTGGAACTTGGAGTTTGAAGACGCAAAAATTACAATGAGTTTTTTTTTTTTTTTTGTAATTCCACATAGTTTTGTTTCTTGCCTCCTAGCTACCTCTTATGGGGATCTACTTCACCATCAAAATCTAGGTTTTTAATCATCTGTGCTTCTAATGTGTGTGTGTTTTTTTTCAGTACGTTCTCTTGGATCAATAGCACTGAGAAAGGCGGAAGACACTGACTTCAAATATCATTTTGATGTCTTCAGTGTGAATTTCAATGAGGAACTTGTAGCACTATATGGTGGAAGTTTACAAAGGCAGACAAGATTTGTGAATGAGTGTATTAAAGTAATTCTTAAATTGTATAAGGTATGGAGATAAGCAGAAGGCATATTAACTTTTATACTGTACAGCGTGTAAGTGTCTTACAGAGACTGCTCGTGCTGCTGTGATTTTTTTGTTTAACGATGAGAACATTTCGTTTAAAAATGAACTTTGGCTGTTTAAGTAACATTTATAATGTACTTTGCTCACTCTGTGTAACTATTGTATATGTGGATAATAATTTCATTCTCTAAATATGGAGCATTCTGTAACCAAAATGACACATATATCCAGTTGCGGGAAATATGTAGGCTCAGATAAGCTCAAAGCTGTGCATATAGTACTAATAACTTTTAAAAGAGAAAAAAAGACTGTTGTGGACAAAGTAATTTAAAAACAGCCCAAAGAGGACTTGGGAAATTTGACTGATGTCATAATTTGCCCCTTAACCCTAAAAACATTTAACACAGACATTTTTCTCTAATTTTAGTTGAATTTCCCTAACTGTACACTTCAGAGCCAATTTGGTCTAGTGGTTAAGGCACGAGCTAGAAACCAGGAGACCTTGACTTCTAGTCCCGCTTTAGGCACAAAGCCAGCTGGGGGACCTTGGGCCAGTCACTCTCCCTCAGCCCTAGGAAGGAGGCAATGGCAAGCCACTTCTGAAATCTTGCCAAGAAAACTGCAGGGACTTGTCCAGGCTGTCACCAGGAGTTAACACTGAGTTGAAGACACCAAAGGAGGGAGGGAGGGAAATGTGTACACTTGGAGTGATTTACTGTTTTGTACCATAACCCCCAGGATGCAGAGAGTATAGAGGATGGCCTCGATGAACAGAGGGAAGATCTGTTACCAGGCAGTAATCAGATACACGTGGCTTGAGCCCATACCAAGAAAGAGATTTTAAAAAATGCATCAGATGGGTCCTCCCCCCAACTCACCTTAAGATAAAAGATGGAGGAGGGGAAGCACATTCAGAATTGCAAGATCCTGTTACTATAGCTGTTCTAATAAAGATAGCTTTAGGCCAACATGATCTGTTTCTTAGTCTGGTCTACCTTAAAGGGCTGGCACGTTAACTGTTAAATGGGAAAAGATTTGTGTTGTTATATGTTTTCATTGTGTCTAATGTCAGATAATTTTTCTTCATTTTTTGAAGGGCCATGTGTTTGCTCCCCGCAGTGTTGCATTAGTAGGTCATTCCATGGGCGGTCTTGTTGCAAGAGCACTGCTGACTCTTAAACATTTTAAACCAGAACTTCTCAGTATTCTTGTTACTCAAGCCACACCTCATATTGCACCTGTGTTGCCTTTTGATCAATATCTTACTGGTAAGTTCACGCCTAAGAACTTTTTGGATTTGTGGGGTTCTATTTTGCCTTCCCCCTCCTTTCTGCTTTTGAGTAATTGGATAAACTTCCCTCCCGTTAATTTGCTGAAAAAGACTATTAAAATTCTATAACCTTCCTTGTTATACTTTATATTAGCAATTTGGCCAGAAATGTGTTGTAGAGTATTCTGGAAAATAGTTTTGAGAGTTGATATCAAAGATTTCCCCCCAGTATGTACTTGTTTAATCCTGGGTTGCAGATGGTACCTTAAAAAGATGCAGCTTAGCTTAAATTTTATGATGAACATAATTGTACCTAATATGTCCTGGCAACATCAACTTTTGCTGGGTCACCATGATGGCCAGTTCGTCTTGTGCCTGCAAATGAATGAGACAGGGACTTAGGAGCAATTATATTCTGTTTATGTGTTGTGTTTTGGTAGGATCACTAACTTTGGATTCTGAAAAATCAGGGTACTCCAGAATTCATCAAATATTATTTCCAGATCCCTCACTTCTGTGGGCAGCGGGATGACGTTATGAGGCAACATTTCCCCAGATAATGGTTTGACCATTATTGGTGGATTATGCTAACTTGCCCATATCAAGACACTTAAAAACAAAATCAAGGTTATTTGCCTAATGTCAATTTGAAACAGACTACTAGGAGAGTCTCAGCATGAAGTTCTTGAACACCAAACTGAAGACTACCTTAGACAGTTTGGTTATAGTCTATTTGATAGCAAGGAGAGTACACCAATAGTATCCCCAGTCTTGTCTTGTTGACCCAAAGCCAGGTTTCTTGTAGCTACTCCCATTCCTGGAGAACTTCCAGTGAGCAGAATGGCATTTCTGTGTCTCTCTTCTCACCCCACAGTCCAGGCTGATGCTTCATTGAAAAACTAGGTTGGTAGAGTTGGATCATATCCATGCCATTAGTTAACTGATCCATGTTTCTTTATCTTTCATCTTTGAAATACTTTATCTTTCATCTTTGCAATAATCATATTATAAAAACCATAAAAGTATGAAGTCTTACTTTGGTAACATCATCAGGAAGGGGGAATCAGAAGCCAAGTACCCAACACACTGGGAGAGATCAGAGGGAGGAATTGTCACAGTTTCCCAAAAGGGATGACCTCATTTGTTAATACCCCTTTCCCCATTAGCCTGCCTTTAATGCTGGCTGCATATCCATATTCAAAGAAGTTGACTTTGAATGCTGAGAGTCTGTTTATGATTGCAGTGGGATATAAGATGGATGGATGTGTAGGTAGATAGGTAGGTAGGTAGATTTTTCCTGCAAGAATAATTGTGAATAATGCAGCATCACATCACTGTTTTCCTTTAAGAACTGATATGATGAAACAAGGTGGACTTTCAGCACCTGATTCCAAGTCCCTAAAATAGATATTTTTAAGCACTCTGTTGAAAGTGATGGAAAGGGACTCACCAAGAATTTGCCTTCTATGTATAGGCATTGTCTCTAAGATGCTAATCATATCTAATGGGATGACATCTGGAAATAGTAAGCTTTCTAAGTACTAAAGAACTACTTACACAGAAGGACTACTGAATGTAGCAGAAAGTGCTTGCGATAGATGGATAGGCTGGGTATATATTTATACTTCCATCCTCCCTAATCATGGTGTTTATCAACACATATGAAAAATCTTGCTTGTGGTATCTCTTCCAATCCAGAATGAGAGGTAATACTATGACTTTTCCTGTGGTATAGAGTCTACGTATGGAATGTCAGGTTGAGAAATAATCAGTGAAAATAGATAAATGTTTTAGTAATTTGTCAGGCTTAGCATATATTTCCAGTATGGATCTATACAACTGCTATCTTTTCATGTTTCCCAGATATTAGAGCTCATGTAAGCTATTTCTTTTATGCTAATGAGATCAGTTGTGGTATTTCCTAATCCGTAACCTCAAGACAGCATTTAAGTTTCTTTCATTCCCCTTTCACGAGGCAAGCTCTTAGGGGCCTTTTGGCTGTACTTCTGGTGTTAAGTAGCAGCTAGAGAAAGCTGAGCAGAGATGGGAACTCCATATTCATCTCAGAAAAACTGACTATATTAACCAAATCAAAGCACACAGCAGTGGAAGAACGACATTTGTACTATAGGTGAGTCAAGGATTTCAAGGACAACCAGCTGGAACAGGAATGTTGAAAGGGACTCGGTTTAGGAAAAAGTGCATTAATAATGCCAGGAATATCACAGCACTTAACTAATAGAAAAGATATTAGTGTTATTTTTATTGAAGTGGTCAACCCCTTTGTTGGATTCTTTAGTAGATATTTTGAAGTTAATGGTATGCAGTTAATTCTGCAACCTTCAGTAAGAAAGAAAATCAAAATGTGAAATTCGTATTTTGAACTAGCAGAATGTTCACAGTATGAGAAATTGTTACAGCTTGCCAGCTTCAGTAGAAACTGCAAGATAGCATTGTCTCACTTGGTTAATCTTACATTATTTGATATATACAAAAATATCACAATTCTCATGGCATATCTTCTGTTAGTAAAGCTTCATAGTTTGGTTATGTGTTGATGTCAAATGCATCATCACAAGTTTTATTTTTATTTATAACATAAATGCCATTATACTGTAAACATTCCCACTAATGGACCCTAAAGCATCAGAGCATGTGTTAATTAAAGAATGAAAATAGAATACAATACAACTTAGAAAAAGATGTAATTTAAACTGTTCATACTACCAGATCACAGATAATAACAATCCAGCTATTTCAAACTCCATACATTTATTTACATTTTATATTGCTTTATAGCTTGTGTGAATATATCAGTGTTTGTCACACTTTCTGAAATTGGGACTATTAAATAAACATTCAGAAAATGAAGAGATTATGCAGTTAAGCAAACAACACTCTGCATTTTCATCATTTAAGAAGATGGGAGTTCATGTTTCTAGTGAATAAGATAACTATTATAATAATATTTATATATGCCTTTCCATCCCCTCCTTTTTTAAAGGCCTTTTAAACTAAATTATGTAGCAATAAATAGATCCAAAATGTAATTATTTACCACCTGAATTATTGTATGATCCTTATACTATATACTGTAATAACAACTCTTAGCACAAACCTGTCTGGTCAAGAATGCCCTTCAGTGGAATTTACTTTTTATATCAGAGGGTTGATACTGTTTCCACTCATGTACAAGGAGAATGCTATCTGGCTCAGTGACAGATAGCTTGAGCCAACCATGTCGAAGAAACCAATTGGCCATGGATGTGAGGAGGTAAAGGCAAAGAGGCTGTGGCCACCCGACTGTTGGTTCCCATCAGAAGGCAGGGGTGAGGCACTGAGTGTGCAGCATGTGCATGCATTCTACATGCACACATATATATGCAGCACCATACGTAGGTTTTATTAAAATGGTTTTGACTCATACTTAGTCCTGTAATATGCTGTGAGCCAGTGCTGAGCTGAATATAGTCCTCAGAGCCCCCTTTTGTCATGACTGTTGAAAACTGAGGCCAATTTCCCTTTATTTTGAGGTAGGCAGAGATGAAAACTGTTACATAAGTCTTAAAATAGGTAGACTGCAGTTTAAAAAAAAAAATCCTCAAAAAAATTCAATCCTGCTGATACGTGTGATTGTCAGTGACTGACCAGAAAAAGCATCTTGGAGTTATGATGAACAGTTTGCTAAAAATATCAAGGTTAAAATGCTTAGAATCAATAGGAAGGGAATAGAAAACAGAATTCCAGACCACATTTGGAGTATTATTGTAAGGTGTGGTCCACGTCTTAATAAAGTTGTAGAATTGAAATTCTTGTTGATGAGAAATGACAGTAGAAAGGGGTTATTACATACCAGTCCAGGCTTGTTAGCTTCCCAAGTGTAGTTGGCTAAAATGAGACACAGAAGCCTGGACTAGATAGGCCTATGACCTGATCCATCAGGACTCTTCCTATGTGTGTTTTATCCCTGTTCCCATGTTAATTAAGCCTGTGACTACCAAGAGCTGTCATTCCATTCAGTAAGAATAATATTCAACTATTTTTTTTATTTCTTTGCATCTCTTCCTTTTAAAGCTACATAACTTTTATATAACTAACAAAAACATATTTTGTGCTATGCACTTTTTGTCTCTGCATAAATGTGTTTAGCTGCATGTTAGGGATCAATCTTGTTACAAAAAGTTAGTTTAGTTTTCATAAATGTGTAGAGTCTCTAACTCTGTTCTTCTTAGGCTGCACTTTGATAGAACTGGTACACAAAGAAGGTATCATTCAATATTATGAGTGTGTGTGTGTGTTGTTTGCCACTGCCTTCTTCTTGGCTATGTTTTGACTTCCGAGTCTAGGGCTGAGGGCGAGTGACTGGCTCAAAGTCACCCAGCTGGCTGGTGTGCCTAAGGGAGGACTAGAACCTATTTTTCCCTGTTCCTAACTTAGCCACTACATAACACTGGCTTTCATTATGAATATCAAAGTAGAAGAACAACAGAAAGTGAGTTTTAGCTTTCTAAGCTGACACCATGACTAATGGAAATATTATAAAGAGAATGAGGTAATTTGAGAACTAGCTCATTTGAAAGTTTTATAGAGCGTTTATTGCTTCCTCTAAGAGGATTCCTTTATGTTAAAAATCTTGCAAGTAGAACTATCACTAACTCAGTTGTCCCTATACACTCAATCCTCAGTATCCGCAGGGGTTACGTTCTTGAAAAACCCCATGGAAATGGAAGCCACAGTTACGGAAGCTTGACCACATGTGATCTATTCACATGTGGAGAACATGTGGAGACTTGTTAACCCAAAAAATACTGTGAGAACAAGAATGCGGTTTCCCATGGTGTAGTTCGTGTTGATGCTGCGCTGTAAGGTTTTCAGACTTTTTTCCCTACTGCACATGACCGCGTATAGCTGTGTTGAGACCGTGTTTGATGAAAAATGGGTTGCACTTTTATAGAAGCATATAATCAGATCCACTGAAACAGTGCGCAGATAATGAAG